GGTGGAACTGGTAAAACCACTTCTTAAATACAGTATCTCACTTACTTTAAAAAGACTACTAGAGTCATCGTAGGGTAGCTCTGATTTGATGCCAGGTAACACTATATATGTTACATAACTCTAGTTATTCTGACTCCCAACATTATTTGATTCAACTATACCATGTTTCTGTGTTGCAAAATAGTTTTGAAATATTGTTACCTCTTTGCTCTCTTTGTATAATCTTTCTAAAGTGTGTGAAAGCAACTGGAAGTAGGATGCAAATTTTCAGGACTGGATACAATTTCTGAAACCAGTGATTTGTTCTATTCTAACTAAGCACTGAGTGGATTTAATGAATGGCCCTGACAGATTCTCTTAATTGTACTACATGCTTGTAGCAGATCAGAAAGACTGTAGTTTCCTCAGTGTTCTTAGGTGAAATAGGCGGCTGCTGTTTGTGTTTTCTCATCTAAATCAGAATTGGAACCAGACCAAACTCAAGGGTTCAGCCATTTAGTTTTGTGATGGTTGCCATACGTTTGTTTGTAGAAAGGGATGGTGGGCACAATGTAGCTAACACTGGGGAAAGTCAGAGGTTGTGACGTAAATATTAGTTTCAGTGGGCTCTGTATAGAAAGAACAACGGTCCTAGCCATATGATTGCTCTTGAACATACTTGATCCAAATGTGGAGCTGTGGCAGCTTCTTGATACTCCAACTGAGTAAAATGAAATTACTGGGACAAGAACTAGACTGTAGGTGGCAAAACATTACTGATTATGACCAAACACTATAAATAATGGACACAGGGTGCCATAGGAATATTACACAGCCAGAAATGGATGCAGTAGAGTCTGGGATCATAACTTTGCTAGCAGACTGCATTTTCAGTGCAGTACAGTATGTGGTATAGTATGCAAGTGGAGATGCCCATTATGGAAACACAGGTTATGTTTGCATGTTTAAAATTCAAGGACTTTAAAAGTCAAACTATCTGTGCTATGTTCATTATGTGAGTGATTTACATCAGCATGGTCTTGGTGCAGGATGCATCTCATGTACCAGACATATTTTAGCTGTGCAGCCTGGAGATGAGGGACTTGAAACACACCTTATTTTAGAAGCTGTAAGATCAGGGCTTATCATCTGAATCTCAGGTGCAGTAAATCATTCTGTGAAGAAGAGTGTAGTTCTTACTGGTTTTAAGAAAGCCAATGGGTTCATATTAAGGAGATCAAGTTTGGTTCCTAAGATTCTGAATAACTATCAGCCAGCATCTCATGTTCCATTCTTGAGTAAGACATTGAAGGAGGAGTTTTCAACTGCAGTGGTCTTGGGCTATACGAATAATTTAAATTCATTCCAATCTACTTTCTGGCCAGTATCAGATCTGAAGCAGCCTTGATTGCAGATTAATTCCATAAGAGAATAGGTGGAATCATCAAGCTCCCTGAGGCTTTCAATACCACCAACCATGATTAGTTCCTAGGTCATCTAGGGAAGACAGGCCTGCAGGACACAGTGTTATAGCACTTTCAGGAGGGATTGACACAGAAATATTGGGAGACTTTCTGTTTCACCCCACAAGTACTGGCCTCTGTGGTGCCTCAGGATTCCATCTTTTCCTCCATATCTCCAGTTAGATATTAATTTTACAGGAGACATCATATGGAGATTTTGTCTAAAAGTTTCATCAGTACTGTATGTGGAATAAATCCAGTTCTTGCATTTGTTTCTATTCACCAATCCTAGGAGGCTGCAGAGTTCCAAATTGGGGTTTGGAGGCAGTTTTCAAATGCAAGAGGACAACCAAGCTGAATCATCATCTGGATAAAATAAGAGAATTGCAGACAGGAAAATCTGCTGAGTTGAATGGAGAGGTCTGACTAGAACTGGATGGTATTACACACACATATAATTCATCTCTTTCATGGGATTCTTGTAAAGGGTACCATCCGTTGTTAGGGATTATGACAGGTTTTGTATGTTGACTTTGGTCCACAGAAGTGCTCCATAGATCTCCCTTTACTTATATATTAACCTGGATTTTGCTGCCAAGATGCTGCGACAAAATGCTAGGAGCTGGCTATTTTGTATGATAGAGCAGAGGTCCCCAACCTTGGGCCTCCAGATGTTCTTGGGCTACAACTCCCAGAAGCCTTCACCACCACCTCTGCTGGCCAGGATTTCTGGGAGTTGAAGTCTAAGAACATCTGGAGGCCCGAGGTTGGAGACCAATGTGATAGAGAATGGCTTCCCTACAGCCACTCAGTGAGCTCCTGCTTAAATTCAACAAAAGAAAGACGGTTCATAACTGGTGGTGTTAATCATTATTCTGTATATATGGTAAATGTCTCAGTCATTCATTGTTTCTTATACAAAAGTGTTTCACAGTTGCTCGATGATTAAAAGGTCATGGCCAAACTTAAAAATGATGGGGAGACAAGGAGACTATAAGCAGGCAAAAAGCTACTGCAGATGATGGAGGGGTAAGAGGAGAGGACTAAGGCACAAGGGAAAATGCTAAGAATTCTCCAATAAGATATCTATTTTACCTGAGATCATCTTGTGAGTCTCTCCTTTGCAAATCCTCTTTATTTTTTTCATCTGTCCCTTCCTCAGTTTGTTCCTCTTTCGCCCCTTCATTCTCTTGTGTTTCTTTGTTTTCTGCCTTATCTGTATTCTCTGTCATCTCTTCCCCTTTTCCTTTCTCATCAAATTGTTCATCCTTTTTCTCAAGCTCCAAATTCTCCTCTTCCTCTTCAGGAAATACATCCCCATCCCCTTCCTCCCCTCCATCTTTTCTTTCCCCATTTGATCTTCCAAAGTTAACAAAAAGTGAGGAAGCATGCAAAGAAATGGAAAGGAAGACAGAAGCTAGTTAGGAGGACCAAACAGAAAAAACACATGAAACTAATAAGCAAAAAAGAAATTTAACAGAAAGGTCATGCAATAAACAAAGTAATACAGTAATGGCAGAAAAGCATGCTGGCTAATTCTTAGATAATCTAAGAAACAACTCCAGGAACATTGAAAGGGCAAACAGTTTTCATAACAAACTAAATGTCATTTACACAAATATTCCCAGTGCAAATTTTTTTAAAAACACACTTCTCATAGTATCAGTGTTAAGTATTCTCTAAATGGTGAGACCTATTTATGATGCTTTATGGTATTATATGTATATTTGTTTATGTGCATGTTACATATGCATTTGCACACAGACATACATATAAATATTAAGAGTGCATTCTGCAAGCAAGCACACAATTTCTAATTAGGCTAGAAGGTCAATTTAAATGTAAAAAGGGGGAGCAACATTCACATAGCACAACATTCCATCTCCTGCTGGACTTTTATTAAGGTCCAGTAGCTCCAGAGCAGCTTTAAAGGTACTGAGAGGATGTTCAACATGCATTCTTGGCAACCACTGTTAACATAATCTTTCTTTGCCAAGTAATGCTGCCTTGTTTGGCAGAACATAAAAGCAACTAATACTCTGAATTTTATTATAAATATATTATCTCGTTTAAACTGTCAAACTAGTTTAACTTAACAGTTTTGGATTCTGATGTTTAAAAGGCAGACATACCTGCATTTTCAGATTTTTATGGTCAAATGTCATCCCATATATACATATGTGACATGGTGGAGAAGTGCCTTGGTAATCTACATAACTGAATCAATCAACCATCTTTAGCATCTCAGCATCCTTTAAGGGATGATTGAATAGGTATTATACTGGGAGGGCAGGGAGACACACGTAATAGATTTATCAAGAGTACAAAGAAATCTGCAGTGCTCTAAATCTATTACAGCTGCAGAGGTGGGCCTCTGTCCTTGCTTCCCCTCCAGGCCACCAAGATCCTTTCCACCATCTCTGGTGTCAGAAATGGAGGGAGGAGTGATAAGGTCCTTCTTTCTGTTGTACTTTGCTGAACACAACCTCTCCTCCCACATGCATCTTTCTGATGTTGCTCTGAAAGAACGCTTGGTTCCTGAAAGGAGCTGCAGGCAGATTCTTGTTTTGTTCTTCAAATGGGTTGCAAGCTGGGAAAAGATCCTAACTTGCATTCTATTTGACCTTAAATGTATGGATTTCCCAATGCCTTCCTGCATTTTCAAAGTGTTTAAGCTTCTTAAGACAATTATGAAGTTGGCCACCCACATGTGAACACCTAAATCTCAGACCTGTGGTTCAATTCATACATGGGTACTTAATATGTGTGAAGAAATGTGAACACATTCTAATATTTGTTCTTTTTTGGGGGGGGGGGAGAAAAGGATTGGAAGAACCATCCACACATATAGCTGCATCATTCACTATATTGCAGGCACAATGGAAGTGTTCATGGTCTCTCATTTTGCCTACAATTGCAACATACGTACATAAAACAGGTCTAGGATTTCACAAAACATATGTTTAAATACATTTTGAATATATTTTGAATATCCTACCCTGTAACTCCTCTAGTACAACAGGAATGATGTCACCGGCCACTAATGGAAGAGTTCCTGCTTTGATTTTGGTTTGCCTGGAACTTGCACACAATGAAGTGAATTTGTATACAAATCAAAATTGAAGCAGAAACTCTGCTTAGCAGCAATCTGCTGGTGGTGGCAGCATCACTCCCACTGAGCAGGTGAAAGAACAAAACAGGATAATGTCCATTGGTTTATACTGTGTATGCATGCAATAGGCTTATCTGGTTAAGGGGTGAAAATACTTTCTGTTATCATCTATAAAGTATTGTGATTGTCTCTCAACAGTATTTTCAGCCATTGCAAAGAAGAATGCTTTTAAATTGTATTTTCAGCTACTGGCTTGAACTGCCAGTAGCAAGGTCATTTTGAAAGCAAGTGGTTCAGGTTGGTAACAGGTATCACTTTTCACTGTCATAGAAAAGCCGCATAACATTTTGCGAAATCTTTTGGAAGCTTTGTTACTTGAACAAATGGTAATCAGTGAAAGAGGAAATTGCAATTTAAAATCAACCGTCAACATTACAGTTTCTTACCTAATTTTCTTGTTTCCTCTCGGTCTTTCTGACTGGACAGACATATAGCTTGTGCTGCTGAAACGGGAAGCACTACTGGTCCTCGATACTGCTGACACATCACTTACATCGCTGTCTGAAGATTTGGTGGAAACATTGTCAGATCCTCGTTGAGGATCCCTCCCTGACCGATACTGTAAAAATAAAATAAAATAAAATGGGTTAACACAGTTTGTCAATGTAGTTCAAGTCGCTCAATTTTAGGGACTCCTTTGTACTGATTCTTTAGCTGTTAACTTTATAACAGTCATACAGAATAAGAAGTTGTTTTTCCTGCTAGCACCACTCTTTCAGCCTTATCCTCTAAACCAACTTACATAAAAATAAATTATAAAAATACAATAGTATTTAATGTGAACAAATTAAAATAATTGTTTTAAAAAGGAAATTAAAATATTAATGCTAGTCTTTGTGCAAAAAAACATGCAAAACCTTAACCAGGTGGTATATACATGCAGAAACCTTTATTGGCATTACAAACGAGATGGTACATTTACTAAAATGCAGTTTTAAAAATCATTTGATGCACCCATAGACAAAATGCAATAAAATGGGCATTTGCACATATATCATATGGATTATAACTCTGCACTAATTATATTATTACCACTTCTTTTTGACACATATAGATATAGCCACAGTCATTGCAATTCAGTTTTCAAATAATACAACACCCTGGCATATTCTGCAAACAGTGGTCTGAGGACTGAAACTACCTTTATACTTTACTTAAGAAAAAAATAGGGCAATATGCAGCCTATGTTAAATGCTTTCAAATTATGTCAATTTCAACTGTAGAAGGAAATCATATGCTTAAATTGGTGAGTTTCAAAGTGCTTAATATCACTAAACTATGCTCATAGTTCTATGTAATGGCTAGTTGGCACAGGTATATTTAATCACCATGGCAATTACCTCTGTATCATATGATGGCTTGCATATGTGAGTGAGCCATTGCAGATCTAACCTATTTTACAAATAGTTGCTGGTAAATTGTCTACAAATAAAGCAGAATAAGGAGCAGTATTTAGAGATGAAGGAATGGACTATTCTACTTAAGGCTGCAGAGATGGAGAACCATGGCCCATGATGCAAATTTGGTACACAAAAACTTCCCACTGAGCCCACAGGACTTTCCTGACATTATCTCTACCAATGATCAGAGATAAGAATGTATTTGAAGGCATTTAAACATTAAACACTCTAAATCAAACTGATATGTGGTAGGGAAGCTGTTGCATCAGTACTTTCACATGAGGAGATGTACATAGAATTGATCTGCATGATCAGTGGGAAAATGCACATCTGATCACATCTAATTTATTCTGGCTCCACTTAACTCTTTCTATTATCTTTCACTATGAACATTGCCTACTGCCAAAACTTTTCAAACTGATTTTGGCCATAATCACCTATGTAGCTGCAATCAGATTATCAGTAATTAATGCCAGAAGAAATGTGAGTAGGAATGAAAGGAGCTGCCAAATAAATAAATCTACACAATGTTTATGTTAGGGCAGCCACAACTATGGCAATGTTTTTCTTGAATTAATGAACTGGTGGATCTATGAGAAAGACAGGGTTATAGCCGTGGAAGGAAGCAGAATCTTTCAGGACATACCCTCTACTTATCGTTGCCCAATACATCCACATAGCAGCAGGTGGCTCAGTGTGTTCGGGGTCATTACTGGAACACATTATGGAAGAAGTACCTATCTATAGCATTATATCTACTTTAGGCAAAATATACAACAATAAATACCCCCATTGTACTTTTTTTTAAAGAAAAAGAACAGAGGATTATGGAACAGCTGATCCATCAAATCAACGTTTACAGTCCTTGCTAAACTGAAACTGTTCTTTGCTAACTGACTACTTGGTAACTTGAAGGTGGTTCTATCATAGCATGCTTCCTATTAAAAAAATAGTTGTCTGGGCATGTGCTTCATGACAGAGAACTCCTAGTACATACTACCATCCAAAATACACTAAAGAGTTAACCTGCCTTGTTCCTTAACAGATTTTTTTCCCCTGGTTAAAATAAATGGTAAAAATAAATAAATAAATAAATAAATAAATAAATAAATAAATAAATAAATAAATAAATAAATAAATAAATAGTTGGGGAAAACAAGAAATGGTAGAAACATCGATTGGAGTCCATGTAAAATGCCATGGATAAAACAATGCACTTTGCAAAAAAAAGCCATGTTAGGAAGCACAAAACTTGTCACATCAGAACAGAAATAGGTAAGTTAATCTTTCAGACCAAACATTATTTTTATTTGGTCTTTCTTATCTTTAAAAACAGTAAAGACTATTTCGACATCATGCACAGAACAATTGAAATCTATGGGATTTAAACATGACTATTATAAGCCTCGTTTATTTTAATGAACCAACTGAAAGTATGATACTTTGCCACAGTATCTGTAATGAGTGCATTGGCTTCATAGAAATTATTCTTATAGGAAACCTTGGCAGTTCACTGATTACCTCCTGAGTTCAATGTGTTCCTGAATGTTTTGAAATGAGCAGCAACCAATGAAATCTGACCATACACCAAAAGGGACTTGTAATTGTTGCTAAATATACCGTGACAACAAATTTACTTGAAGGAACAATCCCTGCCTTCTAATTAAAAATAAATGTTTTAATTGCTCCAGATGGCCTTTCAGATAAAGGTATACTATTTTATGTCCTGGAAGCAGATTTTTTTTTCAATCTCTTCCACCTCCTGCATACAAATGTCAAATCTGTTGAGCCTCTTCACTCATTACAGTTTACTAGTAATAGTTTGCTACTAACTGGGTGGGAAACAAACAAACAAACAAACAAATAAGCAAGCAAGCAAATATCACTGACTTTTTATTGTATATATCATTTGTTGCCCATTTTGAAGACACTAGCGTAAGTGAAATTAGAGCAAGGGTAATCTAAGCAGGTTTTAAAATGAAATATTTGGAATTCTTTCAAAAACTATTATTGGTAGTAATGGATATTCGCTTAAATACCGTTTTTCCATTCTTTTGATCTATCATTAGTTTGCATGGCAAAGAAAATTTGTGACAACAAATTTTGCAGAATAGCATTAAATACACAAGAAATCATTAAAAATGATATCCAGAACAATGCACAATTCTGTTCTAGTTTCCTGGATAGTTAGACTAGGGGTAAACATCTTCTGCAGAGCTGGGGGCAATTTCTGCCTTGCCTTAGGAGGTGAACATGCTCTAAAATATGAACAAATGCATCCCAATACAAATTACACCCTTGGGACATAATTTGCTATTTTTATGTATGGTCCCACTACTACCAGATTCCCACTGAGTCACACTACTGCTTCCATGACACACAATGGGCCATGGACACAATATTACCCATCTGGAATTATTGGGTGGGGAGGAGGATAAAATTGTAGACATTTTTAAGTGCCATGACATAAATGACAATAATAATTACATGCTGTCAAGTTGATTTTGACTTATGGTGACCCTTTTCAGGTATACTCAGGAGTGGACCACTGTTACCTTCTTCTAGGGGCATTCTTTGGACTCTGTAGCTTGCCCAAGGCTACACAACCTGTCTCTTCTCCCTGAAGGCATAGCGAGGAATCAAATTCACAGGCTTTGCAGTCTGATGACAAACTAACTGAGCCCTCTGTAATTATGCTTTAGACTGTGGCACAGATTTTGAGGTTCTGTCAGCAAGTAGATTGTACTGGGATTCATATTACCTTGAATGCCATAAGGCAGAAAAGCAATTCATATATACCTAGTCACATCCAGTGGAAGCATTCTGGTGGCTGAAGAGTGGGATCCAATACAACCAAGAGAGTGTTGATTCCCCTTTCCTGCCACAGCTCACCCTACAAACCACCTTGGCGGAAAAAACTCTATTGCTTTCAGGTTGGAGTGGGATGTTAGAACAATCCTTGTCTATTTTCACATTACAGAATAAAACAAGTTGTTTAGATATAATAATTTTGTCTAAAACACAAATGAGATGATTTATTTTAGCAGACAGGCAATGACAGGTTGAAACAGATGTCCTGAGGGCAGGAGGAAAACCAAGATAGTTTTGGAATAAAAATTGTATACATTATAATGGACCAGTATAAGAGTAACTGAGAACCACACTAATACTCTGTTATTTAGAAAAATGAAATTCAGTCCAAACAGAACCAATCTTGTGACAAAGGACTTATTTCATACAATGTACACTGCAGTATTTAAAGTGTAGTGACATATTTCTGTGGTGTTATGTTCCTGAAAAGAAAAAAGAGATGAACTGAATGCTAAACATATTTTTTCCCCATCAGGGAGACATCTCAAATGTTTTGCAATTTGTGTAGTATATAATCTGAAAGAAAGGTGCAATAATAAACCTGTCATGCTAACTCTATTCTTCATTGGGTTCAGGTAATTTATACAGGTGTATAGTCTCAGTAGGCTACCTGAAGAGTACGTTGGTCCAATAATACATAACTATGGATACTGCTAGATATCTGTGTGCTAGAAAGTGATGTATTCCTGGCTGATTTCTTGACCAGATTCTGACCCTTGTTGAGCTACTCTTTTCTTAAACTCAGTGAAGCAGATCTTTCTTTTGAAAGCGGATGAAACAACATTTGATGGCCACCTCCAATAGCCAAACAGTGATGAGACCACTCTATTTTGACGATAGGAATCATTGCCAGAGAGTTACATACCTCTTTACATAGGGTAGTTTTAAAAAATTCTCTTTTGCTATCTTTTCAGCAAGTCAAGCAAATGTGGAAATAATTATTCCTATTTTTTTTTTGCTTTTCAGGTTATTCACTTTGGCCTGAAGAGCTTTTATTATCTTTCACAAATGCAAACAGTGTCATTTCCATTGCAGTGCTGTTATTTGCACATCAAAAACACTGCTTTCCACTTTAGTGATCCTCATTCTCATTTGCTTCATGGATATTTCAAGGGTGCTCACAGCTGTTTTCATGCTGGTGGTGCCCTTGGCCATCATTAACAAAAGGATAAAAGAGAATACAAAACCATTCTGTCATTCTCTTCAGAGGGTGGGCTGTTATCAGGGGCAGCTTGAACAGCAGGTTCTACCACCTTTTTCTACACTTAATTGCTGCTTGCCCAATAGA